TTCGCCTCCGTGGATGATCCAACTTGAATAGGAGAGCTATCATTCTCAACGGGTAAGTCAAGATCAATTGCCTCATTGGCTACTCCTTCAAAATTATCTTACGCCTTCTTTTTAAACTCTCCAGTTATGAAATCATCTCCGATAATTAGCTTCAAGTCATCGTAGTGCTTCAAAGGCTTGTTCACGTAGTCCTTGAGTCTTGGATTTTTCTACAAAACAATAGGACATATAAGAAATAGTGGCATCAATAGAACAGAAACCATGCCTAATTTCACTAACAAATATTATTGGCATCACATTGCATGTCACTTGGCTCCGTCACTAGCCCATACCTACTCTAAATAATAGGAGCCATGCAAGGAGAGTTGAAGTAATTATGAGGAACAAAATGCGTTCTTTTGAGGAGGAAAATGATTATGAATTACAAAGACAAACTCACTTTTGTACTTTGATAAGTAGCCCAAAGAAATTATAACGTTAAAGAAAAAGCCATCTCATTGTCAAATTAAATGCAACTAAAAGTAAGCGCGACTGATTTACACATTGAAACCTTTGCTAATAATTAAATGATCACCCTATTAGGATTGATGTAGCATTTTAGCAAGTCTCAAAGCAAATTTGTCACCAGTGGCTACTACACTAATTCCTAAAGGGATGGCATGCAATGAAGACTCTTTTACATGTGTGTATCTGTTGCTGCAGCAGATAAACACAACATGTGTATCTGTTGTGTATCTGCAGCAGATACACACAGTATTGTGTGTATCTGCTGTAGATACACATGTTGTGTGTATCTGCTGTGTATCTGCAGCATACATAGCAGATACACACAACATGTGTATCTGCTGTGTATCTGCAGCAGGTACACACAATACTGTGCGTATATCTACAGCTGCTGCAGATACACAGATAGTCTCTGAAGCGCAGCAGCATATCGTCATATAGTCTCACTGTTGAATTAATACGTAAGAGAGAACTGTAAACATAAAATTGGAGTAAATTCACCCCATTAGGATTGATGTAGCATTTTAGCAAGTCTCAAAGCAAATTTGTCACCAGTGGCTACTACATTAATTCCTAAAGGGCTGCCATGCAATGAAGACTCTTTTACGTGTGTGTATCTGTTGCTGCAGTAGATACAAACAACATGTGTATCTGCTGTGTATCTGCAGCAGATACACACAGTATTGTGTGTATCTGCTGCAGATACACAACAGATACACATGTTGTGTGTATCTGCTGTGTATCTGCAGCAGATATACACAATATTGTGTGTATATCTGCAGCTGCTGCAGATACACAGATAGTCTCTGAAGCGCAGCAGCATGTCGTCATATAGTCTCACTGTTGAATTAATACATAAGAGAGAGAACTGTAAACATAAAATTGGAGTAAATTCATAATAGCTTAAACTTTTTGTTCCAATTCTCTAGTTAAGACATTAACTTCCTCTTGGACCTGATTTCGAAACCATAAAAAACTTATATAGCCTTTGACCTCTAGTTAAGACATTAACTTCCTCTTGGACCTGATTTCGAAACCATAAAAAACTTATATAGCCTTTGATTGATGCGGCATATTTAGAGAACTGATTTCGAAACCATAAAAAACTTATATAGCCTTTGATTGATGCGGCATATTTAGAGAAGTGCAATGGACTTAGACACTAATACACAATTCATGTAGTGGAAACAATATAGTCATAGGACGTTCAATAGGTCAGGTTAGTAGTGAATCCAGAATTTTGTCCTAATGATGCGTGTATATGTTGGTGACATCCTAAGTAGTAAATATAAGTTAAAAAATAATTTAATGATGTCATATGATATTACTGAACACTAAATAGCAGAAAATTAAATATAAAAGCAGAAAATTAAGAAATTATTACCCTTGCCTATGTGCTATAAACACTTGGATCAAGTGTTATTGTTTTTGTTTCTTCATCCCAACCGGCGCCACTGATTTCATGACATTTTTGTATGTCTAGATAACGATTCCGAAGAGTTCTATAGTGGTTTCCCAAATTGTCCTTGGTAAATAACTGATGGAATTTTTCAGTACATGCTTTAGCCGCATTATTGAATGCCCTAGACCGCATACTCTTGTCACACTTTCCACCATTCCTAGCTTCATTGGCCAAGAAAGGAATGAGGAAATCATCAAGCTCATCATCCCACATGATGTTTCCAGCTTTCTTCACTTTCACGGTTTGATTAAGTTTTTTTGAAGGTGACGAAACTTCCTCATCTTGTGCACGAGCTACCCTCTTAGACCCGCCACTAGCTTCCAATGAGGGGATTTCAAATGATAATGATCTTGGCGTTCCACTCATGGGTGAACTTTGTGATCTCATTTGTGTTTCAAATGATAATGATCTTGGCGTTCCACTCATGGGTGAACTTTGTGATCTCATTTGTGGCATTGGTGTACCATTTAAAAATTGCATCCATGGTCCACAAGCATAAGGAGGAGGCATCATACCTGACATAGGATTTTGGAAAGAAACATATCCAGATGTTAGAGTTTGGAAAGACCCAAATAAGAATGGAATTTGGGGCATTCTTCCTGTAGGGCTATTATCATAAAGTGTTGCATTTGAATTTCTACTCTCTTGACTCTCTTGACTATCTCTATTTTGAGAATAAAATTTCGGACGAAACGAGCCATTTTGATTCTCCATCCCTGCTTGCAAAAACATTGTTAAAAGAAAAAACAATTATTATCAAGTATTACAAATAGCAAAAAAATATATTTTAAAACGATCAAATCAAATCATCTCACTAAACTCCAGCAACAGTTAACCAAAAGTGCATGAAAAGTGCATGAAAAGAATAGTGCTTGAAAATTCCATACAACAAAATGTTAGAACAATATATACTTTGAATATAGTTTTTTATATGTACTACCAATAACTTCTGTTCAATACGTACAGAATTAAATAATTTCTTCAAATCTAAGCACCAGATCAAACCTACTACTTTTAATTTGGATTTGTATCCCTAGAATTATAAAAAAAAATTCCATACATTGGTTTTTTGTTGGGAGATAAGCTTGTATATCTCATGTTTAACTTGAAGTTATTTGCATGATCTTGAACTTTATGAAGTTAAATATGCATGCATGTTTATTAAAGTTAATTTTTTTTATTTTTATTATCATTGTGGGTCAAATATTTAGGCTAGTTTCTGATAATTTGGCTATTAATTATCTTGTAGTTCCGTAACTTCAGTTTTTAAGAGCTAATTTTTTTCCTTCATTAAATTCCTCTGTATTTTTATTTTATATAGGAACCAACTTCATACAACCATTCATGAACAGTTCTATTCTCTAAGTATTTCAACTTACATGGATATTTTATTCCCCCTTCCATTTATTTATATGATTGTGAATACTAACAAAACTTTGTAGTGTGTGGGATTTATATCTACCAAGATATGACTTCTATAATAGTTGGCTATGATAATAAAATTATTGCTTTCAAAGCCTTTGTGATTCTGTTACTAAGGTTAATTTGTGTAAGGCTTTAGGATGTGTAAATTTTCGTTGATGAATTAACTGAATTGGCACTTATGGCAAGTAACTGTTATACCAAAAAGCCCTACTTGCAGGTTGCTCAAAAACACACATCACAAGCATAAATTTATATTGTTACAAAGTACATACTTACTACATACATATAAAGCTGCAGATGGTTGCACATGCAATACTCGTGGTAAGAATCAATGTTAAACATTAAAGAGGATTTTTACAAATTTGTTCACATTTCTAGTAACGATAAACTCCAATACTTTTGGTAGCAGAAGATGTAATTATATTTATAGTATCATCATAATCATGCATGGATATTGTCTGATAATTCCTTCAAAAGCATACTAACAATTCGTCAACAATCGTAAAATTTTATCTCAACAATTTTATCTTTATTTTTTATTTTTTTGAAAAAAGGACAAGAGTCTTTGTCAAAAGCCAAATATGTTAACATCTTATTTAACGAAAAAGATAAAATTAAGCAACAAGGTTCTTTATTTGCTTTATATTTCATTAAGTCTCTTCTCCAAATTGAGCCTTTGGTTTTGTAATTTAATGACTTCATCGTGCACCCCAGCAATCTGTTCAAATAATCAAGTTTCTATCAGCAATCAAGTTTCTCTTAAATCTGAGAGATACCCATCATCTAGATCAAGCAAATAAATGAGAAAAAGGCAAAATTTGAAAGAAATACCCATCATCTGAGAGATACCCATCATCTAAGAGATACCAAATAATAAAAGAAATTTGAAAGGGAACTTGAAATAATAGAGAAAGACGAAATTTTTATACCTCGACCAAATCCTTTCCTCGAGCGGATCTACCCTCAAGCAAACGACGGAGTCGCCGATTTTTTCTTCTCCGACTTGAAGCGAAGCAAACGACGGAGACGGAGGCGCTGATTTTTCCTTCTTCTCCGACTTGAGGCGCAGCCAGGAGCGGAGCTGAAAGGGTGAAAAAAATGAAAGCTGAGAGAAAAAGGAGGTAAACTTGAGGCGCAGCCAGGAGCGGAGCTGAAAGGGTGAAAAAAATGAAAGCTGAGAGAAAAAGGAGGTAATCTAGGGGGTTGTTTGGTTTTTTAATTATTTTTTTCTGAGTTGTTGTCAGCTTTCTGGCCAAACCAAGTCTTTTTTTTATGAATTGCCTTTACCAGCCACATCAGCATAGTAAAGCACTTTACATTATTTTTACAGCTACAAGCAAACAATTGAAAATAAGGAAAACTGATAATGAGACCCACTTTTTTACATTTTCCATCCTTTTATATGCTAAAAACATCAGCCTTGCTATTTGGCTCGCGGACCAACCGCGAGCCCAACTCGCTTGAGAGGACAGGGGTGGGGCCCACAGTGCGGGCCCACCCCTGTTCCTCTCACGCGAGTTGGGGCTCGCGGTTGGTCCGCAAGCCAATAAAGTTTTTTTTTTTTAACAATACAACCAAAAAGCCGTTTACCCCTTTGCCAAACAAACACTGTCAGTTTGGGCAAGCCTACGATTCGGTGGCTTCCACCATCACGATTGCGTTAAAAAAAATAAAAAAAGATCATAATTAAGACAAAAATGCCGCGAAACCCAACCATTTCGAATCCCTACGGTCTCGATTGCACTCCAAAACCCTAGTCTCTCTCTCCTCCATGAGATCCCTCTCGCGATTCACCAAAACCCTAACCTCCCTCCAAAATCCTTCGCCCTTCTCCTACAGACCCTCGCCGATCGCCGGAGCGATCGCGATCGAGGACAGCCCGGCCTACCTCCGCTCGGTGCCTCCGGCGGCCCGCCGACGCTGAAGCCGTGGAACTTGCATCGGAATTCGTGCAGCTTCCTCGGACTGTGATCCGACCCGTTAAGAATACGATGCAATAAACCCTAGTCGGATGTTTACACGATTCTCGAGGTGAACGACGCCTTCTCGGGATTCGGATCTTCTTCTGATTCTTGTTCGTCTTTTAAGTGAGACCGTTAACCCGTTGGTGATTGAGCGTTTTGAATTCTTCTTGTTTAATTTATGTTTTTTTATTAGGGGGGGGGGGGGGCGCGGGGGAGTTTAACACCTGTGTGCACAGATGAATATGCTATTTCCCCCAGAATTTAATTTGGGCTTTCATTGGTGAGGAAAGTTTAATTCTTTCTAGTGAATCCTAATGATTCGATTTTTTTGCTCAAATTAAATGACGAGATCAAACATTGAGATGTCCTGTTTGATTAGGAGTTTAGGGTTTTAGATAAATGTGTTATTTTTCCACACTAAACATCTTTCCTACAAGATTTTAACTAATATTTCTGAAGAAAGTAATGTGGAGTTATCTCAAACACTTGCGAATAAGAACAAGTTATAGATCTGCTGATTGAATTAGTTAAATTTCTAAGAAATTGCTATCTTACATTATTAGTGTGATAAGTGGTGTATAGTTCAATTTCTGTCTAAAAGCCGCATGTTAATGAACTCAGAACAAATTAATTAAGGTACGTAGCCTTGAAACTTGTTTTTGTGCTTACAAAGATGCCAAAGTGGTAATTTATTTTTCAATGTTGGTTTTGTCAGTTGAGAATTTATTCTGAGTTTACTTTCAACTTGAATAATTCTCGTTTATGTTGTATTATTAGTTTTCTACATGCCATTGGCTTTTCACCCATCGTAGTCCTTTGGTTAAAATTTCAATAGTTCGTTTGAAAGAAAGTTACATATATTCAAACTTATTTCAGAAGAAAATATCCAGATTATATTCAAGTTCTTCTCTTACCATTACATTTTTTACTGTAGTGTTTGCGGGTTCTCATTAATTTGATTCTCTTTTCTCTTTGGTATGAATTATATATTGCTATCTGTTAACTCTAATGACTTTGTTTGGAACATTTCTTAATCTTAGCATGTCAACAGGATTTTTTTGCTCATGCGGGGCAAACTATCAGAGATATCCCTGAGACATTTGGAACCAAATGACTATATTTATGTCTCTGGGGCATTAAGTTCGTATAAAAGGGTGGATGCAGCTGGCAAGTGTGATATTCTTTACAAGGTCAATATAAATCACCCATCTTTTATCGCCTTATATTTCACATGTTAGAACGTTTTGAGTTCGGAGGGTGAAAATTCGAACTTATTTTCATTGGTTGTGTCAAGCAGACCAATGGAAGCTAGAGATTTTACTTGGTTAAATCTTAAATCTCACCATTTTGCTCTTGCCTTTTTGTAAAAATTGACCCTCCAGCAAAATCCCTCTTCTTGGTTGTAGTATAACAAGTGGCATAATAAATTCACTGATTAGAAGTTTCAACTTTTGTTAGTTTGTTACTGTCAGAACATAATTTTCCAAGTATTTCTCTATTTTTCTTTTATGGACCTTTTCTGAGTTAAGTTTAGCTCAAAAACTTATCAGTGACTTGTTTGTCTAGGCTGCCGATATGATTGTTCTTATATTATTTATAATTGCATTGGAGGACTTCTGTACATCAATTGAACTCTGCATTTTGTGCAGGTTGCTGTTTCCGAATTGAATATTGTTACACGACAAGATAAAAATCAGGTTAGCCAGAAGTCTGAGAGTGCAGTAGGAAGTCTGACAGAGGGGACCTCTTGTAATTATCTCTTCTTTTCTTTCAAATTTACTACTTAGGTTATCTGACAATATTCTCACATCTTCAATTCTGTCTCTACAGGTGAACCTGATCAAGAAAAAGTGTTGTCGGGTAAGATCCTGCTAACTTTTTTACTTCCCAAAATGCGTATATTACAAGAAACCCCCTTCGTCTACACAGGTTTTCAAGAAACCCCATCATCTGTTAAGTAATTTAAAAAGAAATCTAATTGAAATCCTTACTTTTCACACTTGCTTAGCGGAAACTTGTGATGCTATGTGTGAGGATTAGATCTCATTTCACAAGCCATGTTTAAATTCAACAAACCCTTGTGGAGTTTAAATTTAGTCCTCTCACATAGATTAAGAGTTTTTTTTTGGTTGAACTTGATAGATGAGGGGGTTTCTTGAAAAAGGGAGCATAGTTGAAGGTTCTTCTTCTTTTCTTTTCTATTTATTTTATTTTATTTTTATTTTAAACCCTAACACACACACCCACACCCACAAAAGAGGCAATTTTCGTGATGTTTTTGCCTTCTGCTAACTGATTGAGAAAACTTGTCAGATAATGATGAAAGGTACAGAGATCGTTTGCGATTATGGCAGGTGTTCTTTGCTAATCCTCACGAATGGTGGGACAACAGGCAAGATAAAAGAAATCCAGGGAGTCCGGATTTTAAACACAAGGATACCAAAGAATGCCTGTGGCTTAATCCAGATGACCCTCCATGGATAAGGAAGCAGCTTCAGTTGTATGACTCGAGTATGGGAATAAGGCATCACAGTCGCCAAGATGCATTTGAATGGAAAGCAAAGGACTTTATATAGTTGGAGACATCATTTGATGCCTTTGGGGGGAAGCTTATTTGACTGTACAAACCATCCACAGAGGGAGAATTATCCTGTCGAAGTGCTGGAATGAGCAGAAAAGAATCAGTATGTAGATCCGATCCTTTTAGACATAAATTAAATCCTTTAAGATCATCATGAAGCAATTTTTAGTTAAATAGAGTTATTTCTTCAACCAAAGGGCTTGCAGGCTTGTTGGGATTCCCAAGAATGTTATTTTTACGAAGTATAGTAACATGAAGTTTAGATTACATACTATTCTTGAAGGAAATCAAATATTTGTACATGATAATCTTTGGAGATGTTTCACTTTTTGGGCTTTGGAGGTGTTTTCCTATACCGAAACAAGAAAGCAGGCCGAAGTGCAGGAATGAACAGACAATATTTTGTACGTGTTATTGTGTAGTTATTGGCGATTTGGAGATGTTCATCTCCAGGGACCATTTTTTTTACCTTTATACATTGAAAGCTTGTTTTTACTAAAATTTGTGATGGTTTCTAGCTACTGTTAATGTTATCGTTGCCAATGAATTTTTTATGGGTTCTCATACTCCTGAAATAATTATATCTGTACGTGTGGAACCACTGCAGCCAATTTTTTTGAATGAAACTTACAATTCGGATGTTGAAGATATAATTCATTTTGCTTGGGATGTTGAAGATATGATTCATTTTGCACAATGCAAGCGATGGAACTTCTTTTGGTCGGTATGCAAGAGACAGATTTGTTCGATAAAAACTTACATTTGCTCCAACGTAGAAGATCGATCATCAATGACCATAAATTAGATCGTAATTTCTTAAGTCTCGTGGGTTTCTCAAAAAATAAAATAAAATAAAATAAATCATAATTCTTGTTGAGGCTATGTTCTGCGTATTCAAACATATACAGTTACAGCATGAAGCATTTGCACTCACAAAAAGTACAAAAAGGAAAAAGAACTAATCCCAATCAGAGCCTGATGACCCTTGAGAATGAGGATCCAATTGCATGACCATCTTCGCCATCACTTCTCCCATATCTTCTATTTCTTCTCTCCCAAATCCCCAGTTTTGAAGCAATCCACCACCTAGAGCTCCTCTCTGCATTCCAAACTTGCGAAGATTCTCCAGCCTTTTCATTATTAAAGGCATCACTGCTCTACTTGACCTAAGTCTTGCAGCCATTGGGATTGAATCAATGTCAAGAGATCCCTTTGTTTGAGTCATTTCAGTTGGAGTTTCTAGAAGCTCGCCCTGCCGACCAACACAGCTTCTAAAGATTGAAGGAAAAGGCAGTGGTATTGGAAGAGGGCATAGGGACACTGAAGCATGTGAGAACTTTGGTTTTGACATCTCGCAATCATATGCAGCAACAATTGAGTCATTGACTTCAGAAAGTGAAGCTCGGCGACCTGATAAATACAAGGAAATGATCAATTTGCAGGCATCAAACTTTCATTAAATAAGGAAAGAATTGTGTTAAGTAGTTTCTCATCAAGGAACCAGATGATGTCAAAGAAATGCTTCCAGATTCTTTTTCTTCGGAATTAGAATAAAACCCATATGCGGTATGCTAATATATACTGATTTTTTCTCTCAGCTATAGGCAAAATGTGTTGCCTGATAATTAAAAACGAAGCCATTAGCTAAATCAGCAACAACATTATTTCCGTCAATCATTTATCTTATTATATGACACTTTTTTTTCACAGAATGACCCCCAATGTTTGGTATTGAACCCTCCTGTAAGGGCCTGTTTTGTTCATTTCCACAAATACTAGTAAACCCATTTCTGTGTAGAAAACCCATTTTTGGGGTTGTCCAGAGGTTTCTAGGAATAGTTTCTTTTGTTTGTTACACTTAAAATCACCCAGAAAGCAAACATGTAAATCATGTGTTTCTCAATCTTGCATTTGAAGGGAATCAAAATAAATAGGAAATTACCACTTTAAGTAAAGGACAGTAGTTAGCTAAGAAACTGTCGCGCAATTTTTTATTATTATTTTTCATCTTTCCACCCATTTCCACTCTAAAAACTCTGAAAAAGGGTTTCCACAAAATGCTGATGTTTTTACATGTTTCAGGAAAACGTTTCTTAAAACCACGGAAGAATCCAAAGGCATTATTCGTTTGGAGGTTTTCTGACAATTTCCACATGTCAGAGGGCTTCCAAGCAATTCTTACTTTTCCATGCGAAACGCCATAAATAGGAAAATAGATTTGACTGTATATCATTATTGCATATATTAACCTTTTTTTGTTTCCTGGCATTTGGTCTTCATAGTTATCACTCATCACTCAGACACCTATAATCTGTAGGAATGGACACAAGCACCTTACTCCACCATGAACATGGGATGTCAGATGCGTCAATTCTCCAAAATCCAGATGAGCACACAACTACATATGTATATCTTTCTCTGACTATATGGACTCAAATAATATGAGTGCGTGTTGATCTTATATATTTAATTCAGTCAAACAATTTACAAAAAATATAAGGTTTTATCAAAAAAGGTATACTTATGCATTTTTAAGGCCAATAACATTTTTTGGTCAAAGTATCACCCCAACCTAATTTCAGAATTCATTGTACAAAAGTCTTATAGATGATTAAAGCTTGATATGTGTAACAAGTGTTCACCTGATATTCAACTGACAGGTGTAACACACCTCACCGACACTTGTACTTTCTGATCCAAAACTTTGAACCTTTGCTTTCAAAGAGGTTTATATCCTAGGTCCAAGTCATTATAAAATGTATTTGGCTTTTCAACTCTGATTTGCACTTGGTATGTACTGTAGCTAGTTCGGGTTTATAACTTTGACAGAGCAAATCATTTCAACTGGACTTCCCTGATATTACAAAAAACTTTTAACAGATGCTCAAGTCCAATAGAATCCTTCTACAGCTGTATCAAAATTCAGCTGCATATCTTAGAATTCAAATCCTAATATCATTACAAATACGTACCAATCATGCTCACATTCTTCGGTCTTCATTTAGCTGCTTAATACTTACATATGAAAAGAGAAAATATTATCCATTCTACTAGACAATCAAATGACAAGTTAGTTTAAGTGAGTGGTATGTTAAAGGCAAGTTTATTGAAGGTGATCTGCATAGAAATCCTTTGTCCCTTAAATAAAATGGCCAAAGTTCCCACACAGAAATCTGAATAAAATAAGAAAATGAGATATAGACAAATCTACATTATTTCCCATGACCACCAGAACGTGCAAGCGAACCCAACATATATTTCCCCATGACGCTCTGAAGTAAAAATATATCAGCTTTCTCATCTTTTAGATGTGTGGCAACCTTAGCAAACAACATAAACAAATAAAGTCCAAGAAGTGTACCAAAAAATGTCCTGAAAATCATAAATACACTTCTTGAACGAGAAAAAAAAAGAGACCGCAGTACTTGCAAGGCTGCAAGTTCGAGAATTATCACCCGAAAATAATAAGTGATATTCTGTATCTTAAACTCTATCGCATAGTCGAAAGAAAATATATTTGCCTTACCCTTTTTTTCTCTTTTAGTTTGCCTCTGGTTATTGCTTTCTTTACATGCCCCTTTCTCTTTCTTTTTGTTCCTTTACTTTCACATTGTTGCCCATGTATTCTCTTAATTCGAGTAAATTTTAACACCTAGATCCCACCAAGGAGATTCCATGCAAGAAGTTCTGAGTATTTCTCTAAATCAAATAAAGTCCTAGTGAAACTCTAAACCTTCTAAAACAGTAGATAAACGATAGAAAATGGCTGGACTATGGACTTCACTAAAAATAGAAAAATAAACACCTAAAGAAATGAGCATGCTCTAAATAAAAAGCATGAGTAGACCATGAAGACAAAATGACCTTAATATAAATATAAAGAGGTAAAAGACACGAGTATATTATTCTGAAATTGAAGCTCAAGGTACATGGAAGTGATTGCAGGAAAGAAAAAGATTTAAATATAAATATACTTGAAAATGCAGAAACATTAAAGATAGCAGCATTCGTGGGGGCTGAGTTAAAATCACAACCTGCATGAAGCATGCCATGGGTAATCAAGGACTCCAATGCTTGTGAATCGTCAACATCCTCTTCTACTTCCGGGGTCAAAGAGTTCAAACTTCTCAAGATAGATCCTGGATTTTGTTCATTCAGAAATGTAATTTGTTGCAAATAAGATACATGCATCCAATGCTTAGATCCAACACAACCATCTGGTTACCATCAGATGAATCAAGTACTTAAAAAGGGATGCATGAATTCAGGAACAAAATAACTAATCAGTAAAAAGAGTACCTGTCAAAGATGGAGCTGGCATTGCTACATCTAAAGTAGCCACCATATTCTGCCTGCCTTGACCAGCTAACATTTGTATGATTCCTCCAACGTCCACAGCTCCAGAAACATAGGCGGTGTTCACTGTTGGACCACGCATGTCCATCCGAAATGGAATACTTATTGAGTGTAGAGCAGCAGCATAAACAGCACTACAGTGGAAAAGCTTCTGGTCTTCAACATGAAGAGTAGAGGACAACTTGCCTTGAAATTCAAAACAAGGATTATTATTCAAGACAAGGAATTCATGCAGGCCCCGTTTGGCAAAGGGTTAATGAAGAGGGATTAAAGAGAATGATTAATGTACTTAGCCCATTTGATAATCCGAAGGACTACATTATTAACCCGTTAAATAAGTTTTATTTTAGCCCTTATGATCAATTTTAGTGTTTGGGAATAACAATGATTTTGACTATTTTCTTTATAATTAGAAGGGTTAACTTTTATTCCATCTAAATAGGAGTATTAGTAAACCCCTCATTTTGAGCGGTTAACTCATTTTAACCCCTCTAGAGGGGTTAACTTAACCCTTCTATATTTTTTATGTTTGGCAAATTATGGAGGGTTAACTCACTTTAACCCTTATATAGATTTGTTGTGTTTGGCAGGTTAAGAAGGGGTTAAGTCTCCTTAACCCTTTGCCAAACGGTACCGATATAGATTTGTTGTGTTTGGCAGGTTAAGAAGGGGTTAAGTCTCCTTAACCCTTTGCCAAACGGTACCGCAGGGAATATATATAAAACTATGGAAAACAACCAACAGACAAAAGCTAGTGCACAAGAGTAATATAAACTTCTATAATCATATATAGAATATTCGGATACTAGATTTTCATCACCAGAAGATAAGTTGCTTGCAATCATTTCAACAATAACAATCAAAATGTACATTTCACTGAATAATCATAACCTTTTTAAAATCCAAAACTTTGGTGCATGCAGGCATTTACATCATTACATGTATAAGAATCTAGGAACTTGGTGCAGCATTTACATCATTACATGTATAAGAATCTAGCCAAGCTGCACATAGTTTAAGGCTTTACACAGAAGAGTAGAAAACCAAACATTAAATTCAAAACCTCCCACACATTGTCCAATATGTTTTGAAAGAAAGAGAACGAATTGATGAGAATCTGTTCAAGAAATGAAGGTCACTGCTGATACAAATAGATGGTAACTCGTGCAGTGAGTGGAAAAGGAATAAGCGCTTAGCTTCTGTGCTAGTGGCGGGCGGTGACAAGGCCATAAAGTCAGTTCAGTTGCAAGCCGAAGGCAAAGGGGGCCGCGGAGCAGCTTGATTGATACAGTGGTTCTGGATATCTTGACTCCATTTAGTCTAAACTAACAAATGAAAAGCATATACTTCGTATTTCTGTTTGTGGAATAACATTCTTAAACCATTCATTTGTTCTGTTTGTCAACCAAAATGGAATAAGTGGAATGGTTAAATCACCACTCCTCTAGATTACAATCCATATCAGACAAAATAAAAATAATTAATAGGATTATGGAGTAATGCTAAATCACTTAATGCAGCCTTCTTTAGCTCATCAACTTTATTCCATTACCAGATGACACCCAAATGTTAAGACTCTTTGGAGCTAGTATCTCACAATTTGGGTTACTGTACTAACAAGTTTCCCCTGAATTACAAAAGAATTGAAAATAC